TGGCCCATTTGTAATCAGGTTTTTAAAATTTAGTTCTTTGTATTTTGGGGGTAACAGTCCTTTATCAGTTATTTATCTCTTACAGGAATTTTCCTCAAATCTCTTCACTTGTTTTATCTTTCTCTGCACAGATTATCTTAACTTTTTGCAGAGAAGTTAATTTTAGTTAAATCCAGTTTACCAATTATTTCAGTAATTATTCCTTTAGAGTGTATCTAAAAAAGTCATCACTTTTTTATGCAAGAACATCTACGTTCTCTCTTATGTTCTAAGAGTCTTAAAGTTCCGCGATTTATATGTAGGTCTATGATTTCTCAATTACTTCTTATAGAAAATGTAAGGCATGTATCTAAAGTTTTCTGCATGTAAATGTTATGTTATGCCAGTATCACTGTTGACAAGACTATCTTTGCTCTACTACACTTTTTTCTTTTTTTTCCACCTTTTAATTCATTAATGTTACTGGTACATTTTAGGTATACAGTTTGCTGACATTCACTATTGGGAATGTGTACCTTTACACAATACATCTTGGTTCTTTTTTTTTTCCCCATTCCCCTGCCATCCCTTCAATTGCTCCACTCCTGCCTATTTACAAAGCCTTTGTTTCCATATTTCCCTTTTTTCATATTTATTCCTTCTTTCCTCTTCCTACGCCTACCACTTTCCCTTCCCCACTTGGGCCTTTTCTTCCCATTTCACATTATGTATTCTACATTTTACTTTACACTTTTGATCTTATCAAAGATCAACTTACTCTATATGGGCCTATTAAGAGTGCTTTTTTAAAGGAGACCTATGCTCTCTGTACTTCTAGTAGAAGAAAAATGATGGACCCCTCTTTGGGCACAAAAATATATCTGTCTGCTCATTTGCAGTGACGCTACATAGCTATTTCATTTGGCCTGATTTTTTTTTCTCCAACTTATAAAAAAGATGATTTAAAAAAAGAAGCTAGGAAAAAATAACAATTACACTGTCTTTTGTCAAAGGCAACTTTTCCAAGGATTTCAGATTTAAAAGAATTATTTTTATATTGTTTCCCAATTTTGTGTCTGCCAACTTTGGTAGCAGAGCATCGGCAACACAAGTGGTTAGCAACGCAGTACCAAAAAAAGACAAGCTTTATGTTGTTGTTGTTGTTGTTAAATTCACAGGAGTGTAAGTATGACAACAATTAAGTAAAAAAAAACTTGCTCTATATTCCTAATTTGAAAGTTAAAAACTTATGCTTTCTAACTTTATAAAAGATTACCATAGTTATATCCCCTAAAAGGTAAAATAACTGCAAAACCAAATCAAGTAGAAGGAAAAGAAAAAAAATGAGCAAGAATTTCACGATAACTTTTCCAAAATATGGGCTTTTCAATATCACTATTCTCCTTGTGATTTTCCTACTATGTCAAAATTTTGGTATATACGAAATTGCTTCACCAAGCAAGAGAAAACTGATTAAAAGGAGAATTTTGGTGTCAATTTCAACATGGATTTCTAAAATGATTCTTAGTCTTAAAACAGCATCCTTTTGAGGTCTCATAACTGCTGTTAAGTGTCCCCTTGTAGAGTATATGTGGCCACACAGCAAATAATTCTTGAACTATCTTTATCTCTTCTTCAACAGATTTAACAGATTTGCTGAATTTCACCCAGCAGTATATCATAGCACCTATCACTTCCAGGAACAAAAATACTTCGCACAATGCAAAAATTATTTCTTCACCAACAGTGCCAGATCTCTTTCAGGGAGAAAATTTCATTTTTTTCAGGAAAATGTCTTCATAGGAAAGTTAGAAGAAAGTGCATTTGTTTGGAGGTTGACAAAGGCCAAAACAAAAGAAGAAAAAGCTAAAATTTTCTGCACTAAAAGCACTTTCTTGGAAAGTGGAGGAAGTGAAAGGACAAAGAGACAGTGAGGGGCAAAGAGGGCCCAGAAACAAAATCAGGGAGCTGGAGCTCACCACTCAGAAATAGCTATAGGACTTCCAAAAGTGGGAGTTTCGAGTTACATGAGCTACTTCATATAAAACTTTTCATATTCTCGGACATTTTTAGAGGCATTTCAAAGGGATGTGGCTACATTCAAAGCTCTTCAGTTAGTAAGAGTTAAAAAGGTATGCTTTGAAATATTTTTGTCTGGACTTAACATGTGCAAACTTGTGTTTTCTTGTCATTATTCCCTAAATAATCAAGCATAACAACGATATACCGTGTATAAGATAGAGACAATATAAGGCACATGAAAATATGTGCACAGCTTTATGCAGATACCATGCCATTGTATGAGCTTCCACAGACTTAGGGACCCAACCCTGGAAACTGTCCTCTACAGATATCGAGGGATCATTGCACTGTGCTTCAAAACAAGATACAATTTAACAGTGTGACGACCTGCTGTTTCTCAACATGATTCTTCTGTGTTGCTCACAGCGGACTCAAACTTGCACTCCTCCCACCTCAACCCACCAGTGTCAAGGGTTATAGGCTAGAGCCCCGCACCACTCGACTAAAAAAAAAGGTTTTCATAGAGAAGGAGAACAAGGAGAAGGGAAGGAGAGGAGAAAGGAAGGAGGAAAAATTAGGAGAAGAAAGAAACAAAAGCAGATGGTGGCAGAGAAGGAACAATTCATAGCTCACCAGTGAGTTTTCCCGTTTCTTACTGCCCTGACTGGGTCATGTGCCACCCCAAATTCAGACCCTGTGCCAAAGGAATTCTATGTCTTATTGGGCAGAACTGAAGCACAAAGGCCAATATCCATTCCTGGACTCCAGGACAGACTCAATTCCTTAGAAATACACACTGCCCCATGCATATTCAGCAGGCATTTGAAGAATAAAATATTTAGGAGTGAAAAAGTGCTGCAATCAAGGAGGAAAAAGGGAAATGAGACATTTAAACATCTTCAAAATTAACCATCTTAAAGAAGGGTAGAATGGCACTAAAAAAAATCTGAGAGGTTAAAAATAACGCCAATATAAACTGAAAAAATAAGGCTATTAAAAAACGTTTTGAGAGTCAAAAATACTTTTTACCTATAGCATGACAAAAATTGTGAAAAATGACCATGTTAGTACATCTAAAATTTACTGTAAGACAAATAATACTATTTTGGAGGGAGAATAAGGTGTTCCACAACATACTGGGTAGTAAGAATGAAAAACAAAAAAAAGAATGTAAAATGTGCATTCATACATACGGACACAGGAGGAATTGCTCTATTCTAGGAACCTGACTACACCAGTCCCTAAGGACCTTATTACAGATATATGTCACATTACCACTGCTTTTCAACAACTGACACATTTGCTAATCCTTGCTCTCACTGTGTGCTTCATCAAATCACAGTTGATGTACTATTTGGCTGCTCTGTAGATTATACTACTACATGAAAAAGAACATCTGGATAGCCCCATTAAATGCTGTTCATTCTGAATTAATTAGCTGGCATTCTGGCACATGGGTAAGATGCGCATACATGAGGTTCTCTCCTATCACTCATCTCTAAGAAACTGGCATACTCTATATTACAGTTGAAATACACTCTTGCCACTGCGCTCAATTACAATGGCATGCAGAAATGTTACCTCCGGGTAGCTACTCAGACAACCTTTGCGGAAAATTATGTACCTACGTTTCCTTTTCAACTTTCGCAAGGGTTGCCACCAATGAGGACTGCTCTCTGCCCTATGCAGCAGGCATGTATTAACCAAATGACAAGCTCTCAGTTTGTTTTGAATGTATTCATTCCTCATCCTGCCTGGTAATACGAGAGGCACTCCATTCACAACACAAAGACCTGAGTCCAACACAGAAGGTAATGTGCTCTCCCTCCTCCCATCCTTCTTTGTTTACACTTATAATTTCCTGCAGATTTAAGTTCAAACAGGACTTTTCTCTTAGGTGAGCAAACTCCTTTTTATAACTTCATAGTTGTAAAAAAAGGAGAGGATTTTTTGCTTATCTAAGCAAATCCATTATGGTCTCTGAGCTGTTTTCTCACCTCTAAATGTACCGAGTCAAATGCATCATGCTTAGAGCCTCCTCAAACCGTAACTCTCCCAGAACCTATGGCTGATTCTCCTTTGGAAGAAAAAAGGACTGTATTTTAGTCACCATCCTTTGAAAATAGAATATTAAGGTGTGTACTTTTTCCTACCAATTATTTTCACATCAATGGAATTTCTCACATAAACTGTTTAAAAGCCTTCACATCCACAATATTTGCCTATGCTTTATACTGTAATCTCTTCCTTGCAAGATATCTATAAATACACATTTATCTTTCTACATAGATATCTATAGAGATACACAGATATAGACTGCGTGAGCACCGTATATGGCTTGTCTTGATCCTAACGTAACTAATTTAAAACCTCCCAAACAAACCAGCAAACAAAATTATTTATAGGACAAATCAGGGAGATGTGAACACCGGATATGTGACAGTGGTATACAATGACTGATTTTTATGGGAGTGCAGGAAGTAGGCTAACAGTATGGGTCTTATTTTATGGGGTTTTTCTTTGTTTTAATAAAAGCTCTATCATTTGAGATATATGTTGAAAATTTTACAAAGTTATACTAAACCTAGGACTTGCTTTAAAACAAGCAGCAGAGGGGAGATTAATTAAAGGAAAAAAATGGAACAAAAGTAGACAGTAATTGATTTTGGTGGATACATGAGGTATTGCACATTTAATTTTTTCAATTTCATGTTTTCAATTTTTCATAATAATTTGTTTTACACAAAGAAATATGTGTTTGGCTGAGAATAGTAAATGGCCTTTTGGACATTTCACATAAATGAACCATAAAAGATAGAATTTTAACAACAAAGAAGAATAAGAAGAGGATGAAATAAAGAGCATGACAAAAAGAACAAAAGAACCCCAAAAGGAGAGAGAGACAGACAGACAGAAACACACACACTGAAACTGGCAATGCTACTGGTGGATAAACTACACAAAACCAAAGGCAACACACTCAAGGTATTCCTCATTACCTTACAGACATTTCCCAGAACAGCACTGCCTTTTCTGGAGCTCAGAACAAGCTACTCCAAAAAATGGATACTGGAGAGCTAACATTTCAGCTGGAGGTACAGGAGATGTGGCAGGTGCTGCAAGAATTCACAAACCTTCATCCCTGAATGAGGTCATAATCCTCACATGGAAAGCACGCCCTTAAACTTGGAGCAAAGAGGACTGTGTCCAAAGATGGAGGGACCACACAGGACTCTGAATGAAGAGGCTTTTCTGTTCCCCCAGGTTACTATACTTACCCCATATCATCCCTTTCCCTCAACTTTTCATCAAAGCTAGTATAAACATGTTATTTCTGCACCTATTTTGGTCTTTGTTTCATTATGAAGGCTCTCAGGTCATCCAAAGCTAAATGAACACTAAATAAATACATGTTTTCCTTTTGGTGGTGAATTTTTTTATAGAGTCCTAGTAGAAAAGCTAAAATAGTTGAAGAAAATACTTTTCCTTCCCTATATGTTTAAGCTTTGATGTAATGAGAGACAATTCTGCAAGAAACAATTTTGACATTAAAAAATAAATAATCTTATTTTTATTTCTGTAATGATGTGAATTTAAGTCATCATCACACAATCTAGTTAAAAAGAAAGAAAATCACGTTTAAGACAGTGAGAGTGGCAAAATGAAACTATTTCTGTTAAAATAACATTTTCTTTTTGCAAGGGATCGTGTTATTTATGAGAATCTCAGTTAAATTTTTTAAATATTCTATGTCACACCACCAACTATCAAAAAAAGCATGCCATGAATCAGGATGCTGATGAAAATATCTGAGTTATTCTAAAAATAAACATCAATATTTTGTGCATTTCATTGGATATTATTTAAGCAAACTGGAAATGCATTATTTAGCAAATTAGGAGGAGAGTAGTCAGTGAAAATATTATTTTATTGATCTCAACACAAAGATGTTGCTAAATTAACAACTCAAATACAACTAGTTGCAAGGGCCAGGGGTTTAGCTCAGTGGTCCGGCCCCCTCCTTCCCAAGTTCAAGGTCCTGACTTCAATCCCCAGTAGCAAAAAAAAAAAAAAAAAAATACCACTAATTTAAGAAATCATCAAGGTCTGGCAGGTTGATACTGTTTTTGCCCCCTTATTTTTCAAACTTTCTTCCTTATTCCTAACAATGTTACTTAACTAAAACTTAACTATCTCAAAAGGAACCTGAAAATAGTTTTTAAAGGTAGACACTAATGTTTTTCATAGTAACAAAGGATAGTGCTTGGCTAGTTTGATGCATGCATTTCCAGAGAACAAGTAAATATTTATAGACAATATACTGAATAAAAATGAAATTGATACTTCATTAAAATCGCTTTGAAAGGTTGAGCTGCTCTTGGCCACTAGCTATAAATTATTTCACTGCGTTTTCTTTTAAAGGAATTGCGTTCAGAACATAAGTTACTTTAGCCCTAATGTCCACTACAACAAGAAACACAAAATAATATTACAATAAGAACAACCAGTGAAAGAAGTGCTGACCTCAGCCCATTCAAAGACTGTTAGCATCAGGTTCTGTAAAGTAAAAATATTTGATATTCTTATAGGACCTAATACCAAACTGTTTTTATGAACAATGCTATTAGATCTTAATACTTATGCTTATTTGTATTTTTGATTAATCACATATTAATTCTAATAACAAAAGGTCACAGAGATTGTTGACATCAAAGTAATAAATTAGCATTAAATGTTAGAGAATTTTCTTGAATAATGCATTGTTTAAATAACCAAACTTGTTTTCATTAGCATTTTCCACTGCATATTTATTTATAGCCAGACAAGGGAATAATTCACATGCAAACTATTGGGCCACTTTTCTGCAAAGTTTAGAGAAACGATACACTTCTTAAATAAAAAGAAATAAAAATACTAGTTAGCTTGCTGATAATAACTGCATTTTATTCGGAGATTTGATGGACTTCTTGTAATTATACGTAAATGTCCCTTCAGTTGAGGCCCTACAAAAAAGAAGACGTCTGTTTGAAATTGAAGTTAAAAGATACTGTAAAAATTCTAAGGGCAACCCAAGACATAGCAACAAAAGAGATCTATTAATATTTAACTGTGCATAACCAATTTCTAATATTAATAAGCATCCCATCCTTTAGGCAAGTTGTGACAATATTTACTTCCTAAAAGGAGTATCTTATATAAATCTAAACAAAGCCAGAAACATACACAGACATTCAATCTGATGTCGTGGTCACAAAATTTAATAACTGGCATAAATTCTAACTTAACCTAAATGTCCAGTATATTTGTTCATTACTAGATACATTATATAGTCAGTTTTCTTTTGAATTTTACTTTGACAAAAATATATGCATTTAAAGTAACTACAGAAAATAATACCACCCCATAATGATCCATAATTTAGTTAATATTTTTCAAAAAAGTTAAATAACTTATCTGTAGTAATTATATTAAAATGTTATTAGTACTAATTCAAGGAAAAATAACATAATAGTCTCCTCTTACAAATGCATAGTGGTGAATACTCTTCCTGGTATTAAACACACAAAAAATCTAGAATGACTCAGATTCCAACTATAAGGCAAAGCAAATCTAGGCAATTTTAGGAACATACTGTAATGATAGCCAATCATTTTCATATTGATATTGTCAATTTCAAAATGTATATGGTCTACAGCCATACCACCCTGAGCACACCCGATCTTGTCTGCCTCAAAATGTGCATGGACACAGTAAATCTCTGGATACATTTTCACAACTGTTCATCATTTTTTTCATAACCAGGCACATATGGAAGGTTATTTCACTGTCAGAACCCAAAGTTTTTATAGAGTATGGTTTAAAAACAAAATAAATGCAGAATTTTGGATAACATCATTACCAAAGTTTACACGAGACAGAAGGTACATTTTTTTTTAATTCCCCAAGGAAAAGTTATGAGTCCTCACAAAAATAACAACTAAAAAACTTGAGAGGTGAGTGAGAAAAAGCACACTGCTGGCAGCATTCACTGCAGATCAGATGAGGGCTGACTTGTACATATTTTCATTGTGTTTACAAGTTTTCCCAGCACATGTAACAGACAAATGACTTTTGATGCAGGAAATTAAATTTTAGAATTTGTTGTAGGAAAATTATTAAAGAATATTAATGCAAAAAATATAATCATTATATTATTTTTGCAGCATTAATGGACCTACGTTCAATGTCCATCAAGGGATACTGGTTATAAATTATGACTATCTATGCAATAAAATACAATGTAGGTATTAAAAACATAACCACTTATATTCAATGGAAAGAAAATAGTGCTATTACATACTGCTAATTGAAAAAAACTGTAAAATAAAACATCTAAAAGTTCCATTTAAGCTATTGCAGTGCAATAAAAATTAAATTCACATATCCATCATAATTAATTATTAAGAGAAGGCAAACAACTGAGTTAAACCCTATGACTGCTTCAGACCTTTATCTGGAGGGACTTTTCAGGTTACGGGGCACAAAGAGAGATCCTAAGTATAGAGCAGCGGTCTCACTTGTTTGAGAAGACAAATGTGAGCGATGGAAGAGGCTAAAAATAGCTGGGATTTGAAGGAAAAGAACTGGAAAGAAGAAAGCTACGAAGAGAAAGAGCTCTGGAAATTTACATAGGGTTCTTCTTGAATGTAGTCAAGTTATATATGACTACAGTGAAATTCCATAATGAAAGAAAACCAACCTACATGAAATAAACAATACTGAAGTTTACATAAGACTGGGTATCATTCAAGTTTTGACTAGCTAGAGTAAGAATTCCTTGCTCAAAATCAAGAGCATTCAGGAGGAAGACCAAAAGGTTGATGACACTGTGTTGTCCAGAGTAAGTTTCTCCAAACATCTTTCCAAAGCAAGCTTCATTAATTATCAAGGTAATCCTTAGATAACCTCCTTACAGAAGAAAGTGCAATCCTCTTTTAAGAAAGCCCACGAAATCCTGTAGTTGAATGAACAAAATTCATACTGTAAAGCATTCAATTACTGCTGGATATATAAGGAAAAAAATCACTACTGGATAATAGGGGGGAAAAATGAGTCAATAAATAAAGAATAAGAAATGTCAGACATGTGAGAACTACCAGAAAAGGACTTTAAAGCATTCATTACAGTATGCCTTATATTCTGAAACATTCAGAGGAAAATACCAATGTGAGAACATGATTCTGAAGAGCCAAATGAGACTATAAAAGGTGCCAAACATTATACCCAAAAACAGTGTTAAAAAAGATCTCTGGATGTGACTAACAGTTTAGACATGACAGACTATAAATCATAGAATATTAAAGCACAGTTTTAGAATAATGCAAACTAAAGTTTGGCACAAGCAGTCAAAAACAGGAGGTATAAGCCAGTCATGGTGTTGCACACCTGTAATCCCAGAACTTGGGAGGCTGAGGTAGGAGGATCGCTCTGAGTTTGAAATCAGCCTGGCTACACATTGAGTTCGAGGTCAATCTCAACTACATAGTGAGACCCTGTCTCAAAAAACCAAAAACAGAAAAAAAAAAGGAGGTGTAGGTCAAAGAACACAAAGTAGTAGACACACAGAATATATAACACTACAGACATAATTACGATCTGAAGACTAACTTAATAAAATTATATTGTTCCTTCGAATTTGTGAAATGAGTTGTTTTAATTGTTCCTTTTACAAAATGTAACTGTGAGAAAGGATAGATTTGATAATGTATTTGACTATAGTGACAACTTTCTTGTCTTTCTATACTTTGCATACATATATATACATATATATATATATACCATAATTCTCAAATACTGTATACATAATAAAATGTTAAATAAGAAATTTCACAGAAACTTAGTAACATAGACTAATAGGAAATAATCTAACCCATGTGTTGTTAGAATCCTTGACAGAGGAGAGAGATAAAATATTTAAGGAAATGAAAGCTATATTTTTTCTAAATTTGATAAAAACTATACAACCAAACATCCTGAGCTGAACACAATGGCAAAATAAGATAGAAAAAACCATACCGACAAATATCACAATCAAGTTACATAAACCAGAGATAA